TGTCGTATTTAAACTAGCTTTTATCCTTAAAAAGTCGTTACGTTTCGAAAGTGAATTATTGTCAATTTATTATCGGTTGCCAGGCTTATGCATGTTTGCGATGGCTTAGGGGTTCATTTGCAATTTGGTCCTGTACCGGATGTAAGTGTGCTCCTATACTGATAGTGTACATGCTTTTTTTTCTTTTTCTTTTTTTTCTTCTTATTTGTTTTATTATGCTTATACTCAATTTTATTGTTAATTAATATTAGTTTTGCATTAAGAGCCTATTGAACTCGACTGTTATTTGTTTAGTTGAGTTTCTAGTATAAGTGGAATAAAATAAATAAATAAATAAATAAAAAAAGAAAAAAAAAATTCTAAAAGGATAAATTAGCTTTTCTAATAAAGGAAGTTAGTTCCCCGAGATGACTTACATTTTTTGCTGCAAAGAGATCGAGGAGACAGCCATATAACTTGAAGAAGCTAAAAGAATCTCTAATGCCATCAAGCCTGTGACATCTGAAGATTAGATGCTCAGCAGACTCAACAACATTGCAAACTTCACAAACATCACATGGTATAGCACGAATCATTTTTAAATAAACTTTGTCATAAGTGTGACCACTCATGAGTCTATAAAGAATTTTTCCCAGGAATTAAAAAACGATACAGAAACGGATTTGAATTGAAATGTGGGATTTAATTTATAGAAAAGGCGATTGTATTTAACGCGCGGGATCTCTTTAATTGTTGAAGGATGTGGTTGCGAATTGCCGGAATTGCTTGATTGGAAGTGTATTTGATGAATAAAATTGTCCCATCAACACGAGCTCTCCCTGCATGAAAATCGGCTTTTACATTTTAAAAAAAGCCGCAGTGGCCAGGTATCCAAACGACGTGACAGTCATCCACTTGAGATTCATGCAACATCTTATGCATATCAAACACATATTGATTCTCTGCACCTATTTTATTTATTAGAAGTAAAGCTGACCTGCTGTCCGAAAATATAACAAACATTCTGATACCATCAGAGATAGCAACCTTAATAGCATGTCGACTGGCGAGCAACTCAATAAAAGTTGAGATAGATGTTTCACGACCGAGAAGGCAGATACATTATGTCCGACGGAACCGTCGGTGGCATGTATATCGTAGCCGTTGTTGTAATAAAAAAGGACCTTTTCGTGGCATAACATCCTCATACAAGAGAAGTTGACATTTTGTTTTGAGGTAGAGATCGGTTCGAGAATGTTCATGAAGACTTTGCATTTGCTGGTAATGAAATTCAAGGGGGGAATTGAATCTAACTTATCAAAAATATGACGAAGTTTTTGATAGCAAAAAGTATAGCTGCAAGTGACAGTATCATTGAGAGATATAATTTCTTGAAAAACGGAAGGATTTATCATCTTGACTTTAAATAACTCCTTGACTGCCAAAATCGAAAAAAACATTTTATAACAATTTTTGTAATAGTAGTAGTAGTTTTATAACAGTTTTAGTAAGAAACAAAACAATTTTGTTTGGTATTTATTTCGTTTTTAATTTACAGCTGTTTGCTTTTATAAATGCAACTCTAAGCAACTAACCCAACGTGAACTATTTACTTTTCGCGTTATTTTCCAAGCATGACAGAGTGTATTTAACAGTACGTATGTGAAGCCAAAAAAACGAAAATGGTCAAACAATAGCAAATGCTATCATATAATATTATGATTATGTGATATCAAAGCAGCCGAAAAACGAAAATGTAAGCTAAGTTTTAGAATAGCGAATTATGTTATTCTTGCTGATTATTTGGCCAAAAATGGGAAGACAAATTCATTCAGTGTTTATATTAATTACTAAAGAAAAATTGTCGTAGTTTATATTGGAAGCAAATTGATGTAAGACTTACTACTCCTATAATAACATCAGTTTGCAGAATGCATTGAGAGGCAGTGTACAAGAATTATCAGAAAGTAGAAAGAAAATTAACAAATTTTCATTATTTTCTTGCAATTAAGCGAAACTATTTAATAACTGCGAGTTTAAATTCGAATAGGATATTCAACCCTCGGGATGAGGTATCTGTATTCATAAAAGCATTCAAACCATCTACGTTCGTAATTATTTTTTTATGCTTCAACTCTTTTTTGAAAAGAGTAGCAATAAATAATACAATTAATACAATATTGAACCTGAATATAAAAGGCACTACATTATCGAATGTTCCTTAAAATGTATTCCATATGTTTTACTCAACATTGTTGTCAGAGAACAAACGCTGCACACAGATATTGAAAATATTTCAACATAGATTTTTGTGCAATTAATAATTTTAAAGAATTTTTCACAGATTTTCTGTGCCGTAAAAAGCATTCTGGTCCTATTTCGAGCAGAGTTACCACGCTCATATGTAAGAGTTGCTTCGTTTATTTATCCGACGCGGAAACCGGCTGCTACTTGTCGAGTTTTGACAGCCACAAATAAAAATAAACAAAGATTTTTTCCTTCTTTTCTGTTTTTTAATTTCTATATGGATGATAGAAAAGGCTATCGCGAGCGAAAGTTAAGTTTCGGACACGTGACTACACTGCCGCATTGTGGAAATGCAAAACCTCCCATGATCAAAAATTTGAACCTTATTAGTAAATGGCAATAATTTAGTTGCACTGCTTAGTTAGTTAATGTGAGGTTTGCGGGAAATTGTGAATTTTGAGAACGCTTGGTTTAGTTTTTTTAACGATATTAGAAAAGAAGAAATTTATTACTACATTTTTTATTTGAACAGCTTTCAACTATTGAAACTAGTTTACTGTGCTATTAAATTTATTAGTAAGCAATATAAAGATGTTCGCAAGCCTACGCGATGTTTCCTTGCGAGGAATTAAACGACTTTGTCTCAACAGTGAGTATAGGGAACAAAACCGTAATGGAAAAAAATAATCATTTTAATTAGAGGCTTTCTAGTAAATAAATATAAAGAGAGAAAAATTCGTTAATAATCTTATAAATGATTTCATTACATTAGTTATCTTTAATTTTTGATATATTTCTATGTTTGAGTCGTCACTTTTTACGTGGTCAAAGTCCATTTTCTTATAATAGGTTGCGAAGTAATCACCAAATTGCTCAATGATTATAAAATTAAAGGTTTAATATTAACACTTTTACATTTGATATTAATAACTTTTTATTTACAGATTGTTTCCGTTGTCTATCGACTGCCCCTGGAACGTTTGAATCCAATAAGAAAAATATTGTACTTGTTGATGGTGTACGAAGTCCATTTTTATTATCAGGAACAAGCTATGCGAGATTAATGCCACATGAATTGGCGCGTCATTCACTTTTGTAAGTATTTTGCCAAAGTTGAATAACAAAATATATGACGTTTTACAAAAAGAATATTGGAATTCATATTGTTCAAAGAGCCTTATTGACCACTTTATTTTTAAAGGAGTCTTTTACGGAAAACGAGATTGGATAAAGCAGCCGTAGACTATATAGTATATGGTTCAGTTATTCAAGAAGTAAAAACTTCCAACATAGCTCGAGAAGCTGCATTGGCAGCCGGTTTTAGTGATAAGACTCCTGCCCATACCGTTACAATGGCTTGTATTAGTTCGAATGCTGTGAGTTCAATATTATGTAAACTTTTTATCTAATAGAGAAAAAAGCAGATTATCTTAGGCTATAACAACTGGTATGGGCTTTATAGCCACTGGAACCTTTGACACTATTGTCGCGGGTGGGGTGGAATTCATGTCTGATGTACCTATTCGATTTTCCCGCAAAATGCGTTCACTTATGATGAAGGCTAGTAAAGCAAAATCGTTAGGACAGCAATTATCGTTGTTGGCGCAGTTTAGACTCAACTTCTTAGCACCTGAGGTAAATAAAAATAAAACTACTCTTGGCTGTGTTGCCGCAATGCAAGAGATTGTTTTCTACTTGTTTAGAAAGACTTGTTGTGCGGTAGCACATTGCCTTAAATTTATAGGTATGCCTTGATGAATTTTCGAAATTGCTCTGCCAAACGATGTTTGTGTTTCATGAGCTACTGTATTTATTGTTGAAGACATTTTTAAATTCACGTATTTCATTAGATACAAATATCAGTATTCAAGGAGATCTTAATATAATATTATCTAGTTGCCGGCTGTAGCCGAGTTCTCTTCTGGCGAAACTATGGGACATTCTGCAGACCGCTTAGCAGCAGCTTTTAATGTGACACGTCAAGAACAAGATGAGTATGCTCTGAGGTCACACGCATTAGCTAAGGAAGCCCAAGAAAAGGGCTACTTTACCGATTTGGTGCCTTTCAAAGGTAAGAATTTGCATTTTACCGTGGCAACAATTTAAAATTATTTATTGTTTCAATTTAGTTTCTGGCGTTGACCATACAATTAGCGAAGATAATGGTATACGTGTTTCTACAAAGGAGCAATTAGCCAAACTAAAAGCTGCTTTCGTTAAACCTCATGGAACTATCACAGCTGCCAATGCTTCTTTCTTGGTAACTCTAATATTAATTTCTTTCACATCATAACTGTTTAAACTTTCATGAACTCTTTGAAAAACCCGTCACAATCTGTTTTTCAAATTTCCTTTTTTCTATCCATTGAGTTTTCCGTAGTCTTTTCAAATTATGTTTTAGTGTAGAATGGATAGCATTAATCCGTTGTTTAGTCGAGTCAGTTAAGCGAGAAATGAAGTTCCTACTCCTACGAGATACATAACATAAAGAAAAAAGTACCTTTAAATTTCTCTCTAATATTTTCGTCAAAATATGAAACAATATTCCATTTTGATAATATTTCTAACTATTGCCAGCTGCTCGCCCCGTTTCTTAATTTTATTCGTAGGGTTTCAAGTTAAAAAATATTACCCAGTGCACACAAAACCCAGAACTGTCTGTTCAACGCTTTACTACAGTAGGCCAATCATTTTTTCTGAAAATTTGTTTGAATAAGTACAGTCAAACTTTCACCTTTCAGTCGTAAGACCTGGTGCAATAAGGTTTTCGATTATCAGTCCAATAAGCACTACTATGAAGTACTCTATTTTTCAACAGCATCATTCGTTGATGCTTTATTAAATTAACAGAGCAGATTAGCAAGAAACATTAAGTTGCGATTACGACTGTTTCACTTAGGAAAAAATTGACAATAGATATTTCTGATTTGAAATTTTTTAAATTGCTGTTGTATGCACTACTATATGGAATATTGGGTTCTTTTGTGTAAGACTCCTTACATTAGGCTAAATTTATTTTTTCGTTGGCGTAGGTGGTTGTAATAAGCATTTCAGTGTTGTTGAGTGAACACAAATTTCCTAGAGTCAAATTTAACTTTATACCATCTTCAAAAGTAACATGGCTCCACCATCCGCAATTACTAATAAAACTTCACTGAAAACAGACTCGGCGTAAAATTGACGAATGTGGGCGATCCAAACATTAAACATTAAACGTAATGTAATAAAAGTGTACATACCTCCACTTACAATTTTCCGCCTTTTAGAACAATTAAAATATATACAGTATATTCCTTAGGGTATTTCGGAAAGGTACTTCAATGTATTACAAATATTTGAAACATCCATTTTGAGGATAATTAGTTTTGAGAAATTTTTGCAGGTGATAAAACCACATAAAAAGCGTATTTTTGACAATTTTTTTCAGGCGAAGGTAGAGTGATAAGCATACATTTAAGTACTAAAAAAAATTAAGATAAAAAAAAGGGCAATATTGCAACAATGTTCAGGAGTGCGTGGATGACATGCAACATGTATTCACTCGACGGAAGACTTAAATTTGGTTTAACTATGCACATTACAGTGATTTAAAAAGCGCTGTCTGAGAGAGAGAATACAGCTTTAAAGTCTCATATATGTTTGAGATCGGCAACCGATTAAATATAAACTTTACATATTTGAAATTAATATCTTGGTAATAACGTATTATACATATTCTAGACAGATGGCGCCTCAGCTTGTTTAATAACAACCGAAGAGAAAGCTAAGCAACTGGGTTTAAAACCTAAGGCTTATTTACGTAACTTTACGTTTGTTTCCCAAGACCCTGTCGATCAATTATTGTTGGGTCCGGCCTATGGTATCCCAAAATTATTACAGAGATCTGGGCTCACTCTTAAAGATGTTGACGCATGGGAAGTACATGAAGCCTTTGCTGGTCAAATTGTTGCTAACATTAAGGCTTTGGAATCAGATTGGTGGTGTAAAACATATTTAGGCTTAAGTGAAAAATATGGAGCCCCGGATATAAATAAATTTAACAACTGGGGAGGTTCCCTCTCTATTGGACACCCCTTTGCTGCTACAGGTGTACGACTATGTATGCATGCCGCCAATCGTCTAGTTAGAGAAGATGGAAAATTGGCTGTTGTTTCTGCTTGTGCCGCTGGCGGTCAGGGTGTAGCCATGTTACTAGAAAGGCATCCAGCGGCCACTGCAAATTAGATGATTTTTGATGTCAGAAAGAAAAAATGTAGAGCGAGTTTGTTTACCTTTCCTTTCCAAGTACGTATATCTACTAAGAGCATTTATAATGCATAACTTCTAAAATAAGGGTTTTTTTCTTTTTAAATTGAATGATGTAAAAATTAAGAAACTTGTCTTATATTAAAATATGGTCAATGCTTAAATAAAATTAACGGACTTGTTTTTTCCTACTCGTTCTCTCTCATATTTACTTAATATAAAGTTCTTAATTTCCTAATTTTCGCATTTCATACTCTATCGCTAATGATTTATTTAATATATTCATTCGACGTAAAATTATCACAAGATAGCAGTTTGAGTCCGTTTTACCCAGCCTATTTTTTTAATGACGTTAGTAATTACTGTGCTACAATAGTTGTAGTATATACTTATTACACGCACCCACAAGAATAGGGGCGTGCTCATTTTGTGGTAATATTTGCCACACCCTAAAGAAAACTTGAGTATACATATATCCTTGATCAGCGTCAAGTTTAGAATCGATTTTGTTTGTCCGTCCGTGTGCTGAGTGAATGTGTATTGGCAATCACAAACATTGATATATTTAATATACCAGAAATATAAGTTCTTAGATGCACGTTGGTACTGAAAAGGGGCCAATTCGGCCAAGGAACACCTCTAAAACAAACTCCACACTGAAAGCACATCTGTATCACAACAAAAATGTGTGGGCTTGCTCATGATTCATAAATTATGGAAGCTGAAATTTTGTAAACTTTACTTTATGGAGGACTTCAGCATTGATGCTCAAAAGCAGAAAAAAACAATATTAGAAATTATTCTTTGCATTCGGCACATGAAGATACATTGTCTTTAACTAGAAAAGATTGGGGACGCCTTATCCTTATAAAATACCAAACTTTAATCGGTTTAGTTTTTCTTACTCATTTTCCTTAAGTGCGATGAGGTATTTGTAGCTCAGATTTGTTCCAAGAAATTTATTTATAAATTAAAAAGACGTTCTAATTTGAAATACTGCATGCAGTTCTTATTGCTTTGTCGGAATTTATTAGAATAGTTGATGGTGTTAATGTTTCCAGAAATTTACGAAATTTGCAGGATTACCAGGTTATGATGCTTACTGTACAAATCAGGAAACAAGGTTACTTTCTTACGAGTATGAAAAAGAACCAACATGTGCTAGTAAGCAGCCACGGCAGTTGGCAACTGGAGATATATACGTGATTTGCGTGCAACGCAATCAATTTGCAATTGTAATTTATCCTTTGAGCGGGCAGCCGAGAAGATTAGGATTTTGTTTTCTAACTGGAAGCCTATAAGATAATGGTGTACAGCCGTTACATACTCCGATTCAAACAGAATAAAACAAGCAATCAGGTGGAGTCTGCAAGAACAGGATTTCTCTTCAGCCGAAGGGTATAAGATAGCGGTGCCCACGCTCGATATCACCCAGCGTATCGCGTTCCTTATAGGATAAAGAACGTTTCTATCGTGCGGAAAGTCCACAAACATATAATAAGAATTTTTTCCGCCTGAAGATTTGGCTGCTGCTGGGCAACTAAAGAAAAATGTCTGTTTGTTTGCTATTTTTATAGCCATTGGCTGTCATGTTATAACTTAGAGCAGATTGGTCCAATTATAGCTTAGAAAATACTGAAACTTAGAGAATACTCAGTTCTATTGACACTTGGAAAACAACTCGCCTTTGGGTGAATTTAATTGTTTTATGTTTGACGATCGACCACAGTCGACTCTTCATGCGCTTATCTTTACGCTATATAAAAATACGTGTAGAGGTTCCTTAAAAGAGCATTATGCGTTGCACACATTTCTTGTCCCAAAAATTGAAATAGATGACTGCAGCATGACGTGGCGGTAGGTAAACAAGAAGAGGAATATAATTTATTGGTTTTGGTATTAAAATTAAATTCTTGTAAAGCAAAAGTTAGCAATGTGATGGAATTGTAAAATATGGGAGGTGATTGGAAAGCCTTGCTAGAGAAAGCAAAAAAAAAAAAAACGCGTGCTACTCAATGAAATTTAAGTTAATCCCGTAAGGATGAAACAGCACTTTTTTGATTATTATTACAATTGATATGTTTGGATACGGTTTGGGCACGGCTAAGTCTGCCTTAGTTAAAAGGTGGTAGGATAGCTTCACTGTTAAGCGTAATATCTTGTCTGATTCTTTTCGTGACTGTTAATATGACTTTTAAAGATACAATCAAGACGGGTATAATTTCCTCAAATGAAGCCTTCCTTTCGAAAAATATGCAAAAATTTTACCAATTTCAAAAAATTGGTTTTTGAAGTTCGTTCTAGTTTTTTCTATAATAAAGGCCAGTATGTGAACAGCTTACGCCCATTTTTTAATCACACATCCTTAGTCGAAAGAAAGTTTAGTTTCCTGTCTTTATATTTGAGACTGTGACGACTCACAGAATTTACTCGGCAAATTGACGGGTTTCAGTAAAAATAGTTATGTACAAAATGTCCGTAAACCTTGTCTTAAGCTGCATCTAGAATACTTCTCAAAAATGAGTATCGACCCTTCATAACCGTATAAACCGTGGCAACTCTATGGTTCTCAATATCAAGTAAATACGATCGTAGTCGTAATCTGTCTGTAGTTATCGCTTACGGCAGGCACCAGATGCATCTAAATTGTCATTTTGCGGAAGCAATCCTTTCTTAGCACTCAGTTCTCGCCCCAGCAGCGCAGGTAAAAATTCATTATAAGATATATGACCTATTTGAGTTCCAAGTATTCTACGACTTTCTTGAAAAACGGTCTCATCGTTCCACGTCTTGTAAGCCTTTAGTTTAATAACTGTGTTGTCTGGCCCATAACAGTTGGCAAAAGATTCTTATTGGCTCGATCATCTCAAAGCAATATTTGCTTTCTCTAAATATTTCTGCACGGGAATTATAGATTATCCGGCATTTGCTGTTCATGATCGTTAACATCGAGTAAAGTCACGTTCAAAAAAGTTGTTACATGATTAACCACATAAAAGAAGCATTCAATGTGATTTTTTTTTTTGCTTTTGGTTTGTTGAGTGAGGATGGTAATTATGATTAGAATATTTGTAAATCTTGTTTAGCTTCTTAAACAAAATTCGGATGCAAACTGTCATCTCATATGTCTCTGGACACATGATAAAACTCTACGCCACCGTTACGATCCAATATAAAGCAGTTACGTAGCTGTAGGCGAATTTGTCCAGGGTTAACGTCGATTTCAAAGGTGTTATATTTATTTGTTTATATAAAGAAATGATATTCTTAATATTTAAAGTTAATTGAGTCAACTACTTTATACTGTCATTTATTGTCAAATTATTTGCTTTGTGTTTCAAAGTAATTCTACTAGAAATCCAATTTTTCTAAAAATATGTTTGACATACGATAAATGCGACCATGCCTTACCCATGTTCATCTAAATTAGTCTTTAGTGCAAATCGTTTTTTGACTTCATTAGATGTAAATGAGTTTTAACAGAGGACCTGGTTATTTCTTCCTCTTCGTCATGACCAAAGTTTTTTAACAGAACTTTGACTTTTTAACAGAATATTCACTCCATATTCTCACACACTTTAAGAGAATAGGAGTGTTGTTATTTATTGAAGGCAATTCTATTCTCCCTCTATTCTCAACAAATGGTTTTTTTTATTTAAAACTTGTAAAGAAAAGAAACCGGCTAACCGGTGGTGTTTTCTGCAAACAAAGAAATTTTTATTAGTGAGTGAGGAAGTTGCAAAAAAATTCAAATACGATGAAAAACTGAAAAATATAAAAAATATCTTAAAAAAAATTCCAGAAAGAGGAAAAAATAAAAAAATTCCAAAAAAAACAATTGTGGAAAAAAATTAAAAAATATAGATTGAAGATTTCTAGTATAAATACCCTACACCGTGATAAAATACCGCAAATTATACGTAGTTTCCAGGCAAGGAAAAAAAAGCCTTATAGGGATTAAGTCCAAAAAAATCGACCTACGTAGCTTAATTTTTGCGCAACTCATTGGCATGACAAAGTACTGTTACGTAGGAATATAGAAAGATAGCTTTTTTCGCCGTATAAAGAGTCACTTATTATAAGAACCCTTATAAACCATCCAAATGAAAAAAACGGTGCAAATTTATTGAAAACAAGCAGAAGTTTTCAGGCAATTATTACAAAAACATGAGTTCATTTCCTGTACTAAAATCACTAGCGCACATTGCAATATTATTGGAACTAAGTTTTCTTGTTGGGAGCGCAACTGATAGTTTCAGTACGCTTACCTAGTAAGAAAATAAGCTAACTATAATTAAAGCGTTCTCTCTTTTAAATGCAAGACAAAACTGAACCTAATTTAAAATTTTTATACAATGAATTTTAATATAATTGCTAGTAAATCATTATTAACTTAATTATTTTATTAACATCTTCTTATTAACTTCTTACTATCTTATATTTTAATTATTAACAGGAAAATTAACCTTTCACTAACCTATATGTTAACTCAGAGAGACTTGAACTTGAGATTTGTCTTCTCAATAATTTTTTGTCGAAATTACAACCCAAGAAAATATAGAAAAGTGCAAAGACTCCAAATTTCTCCACTCATAGTTTCGTAATGACAAACTAGATAATAAATCTATTAAACTGTCATTATGGTGGCGAGTTCTTGAGAAAACCGCTATAGACGAGCATCGCGCTCACAAAAATATATATACAAATACTTGAACAATTATTAAAGATTGTAAACAAATTGGATGATTATTCTCACATGTTTGGAATTATTGAGAATCATTTTCAGTTGGCGGCAAATTTTTATACGCTTGTTCTCAGATGCTCTCAATTTTTATACAAATACTTGAACAATTATTAAAAATTGTAAACAAATTGGACGCTTATTCTCACATGTTTGGAATTATTGAGAATCATTTTCAGTTGGCGGCAAATTTTTATACGCTCATTCTCAGTTGCTTGCAATTTTTATACAAATACTTCAACAATTATTAAAAATTGTAAACAAATGTGGACGCTTATTCTCACATGTTAAAACGTTACAGTTGCGTTCATCAAAACTATGCTTATGAATTTAAAGCCAGGTGCGAAAAGAAGTTGTACGAAGTATGCAAAAAAAATTTTAAACATATAAAAATATCGAAATAAAATATAAAAGAAAGAAGTTTTACGAAAATTAAA